GGGGGGTGGCGAGGACGGTTGGCGAGGAGCTTGACAGGATGGGGGTGGGCAGGGCTGGGGAGGCTGGCGTGGTGGAGGCGAGTTGGGACACCGGTGTCAAGATGGCGGCGCATTTTGAGTTGCATATCGAGCAGGGGCCGCATCTGGTCGGTGCGGGGGAGAAGATCGGCGTGGTGGAGGGAGTGCAGGCGTATCGTTGGTATGAGGTTGAGTTTCACGGCAGGGATTGCCATACTGGCACTACCAGTTTTCCACATCGAGCGGACGCGCTGCTGGCGGCGGCGGAGGCTATTGTGGACATTAGGGCACTGGCGGAAGAACTGGGAAATGGTGCGTTGGCGAGCGTGGGCATTATTGAGGCGAAGCCGGGCAGTGTGAATACCGTGCCTGGGTTTGTGAGCATGTCGCTGGATCTGAGGTGTCCGGATGAGAAGATCTTGGATGAGTTGGAGAAGAGGGTCATGGAATCGTTGCGTTCTGCTGCCGCGCACTCCGGTGCGGGTAGAAGGCCAGTCCAGACGAGTATCAAGGAAACCTTTAGAAGCGGTGCCGTCAGATTCCAAAGGGAGGCGGTAGATTGTGTGGAGGCAGCTGCGCGGAATGTGCTCGAGTCCGCCGGAGCTTCGCAGGGCGGCAAGACATTGATGAGGAGAATGAGCAGTGGAGCTGGACATGATAGTGTCTTTGCCAGCAAGCGGTGCCCGACCGCCATGATCTTCGTGCCGTGTAAGGATGGGGTGAGCCATCATCCGGAGGAATGGTGTGAGAAGGAGGACTGTGCCATGGGAGCCAGTGTATTGATCCAGGCTCTGCTGAGGTATGACCGGACTAGGGGATGAGCTGGGATGAGCTGGAATGAACGAACAGACCTAGCTTGAGGGTTTGGAAGTCTCTCTCGTGACGGCGGCCCGGCACAGTAGCTTTGCTGTGTTGTGTCAATGAAAGCGTAAGAATGTAGATGATTAAAAGAAACCTCAGCGAGGAGGAGAACAGTGTAGAAATGGGAAAGAAGGTCAAAGAATTTGGGGGTCGATTTGAGCCTCGAATGAGCTCCCTATCTTAACTGTAGGCTGCCCTCAACCCAGAGAACTCATCCATGCTTCCACTCTGCAATGCTGCTCAAGGCATTCTCGTACTCAACCATAACCAGTTGAACAGTCCGTCCACACCTAAGAAGGAGGCGCAGGATTGCCACGACCTCGGCCAAATCCACCACGGAACGTCGGCGCAAACTCTCCAGGCGCACCACCCTCCTTACCCTCACCCGCATCACGGCGTCTGTAGCCGCCTTCTCGATCGCCTCTCGGCCCACCACGTCCGCCACCAGGGCGTCTCTCACGATCATCACCACCCATCATGCCACGAGGAGGAGCGTGAGAACGTTGTTGCTTGATGTGGGTTGCTGGCACAATCTCGGCGGGCAGATGAAGCCATTCTCGGAGGTAGTCGAGACCTTCAGGCGTGAGGGTGTAGTAATACCATTGCCAGGAGAACTGGGTTTTGAGGTAGCCGCGCGAGGTCAAGGATTGGCAGGCTTTGATCACCTGGACCAAAGTTGTCAGCATGTTAGAACCTTGACCCGATGCTTTGTTGAGCCTGTGAGAGCGTACGTAGAGATTCTTTGTGTCAAGCTCTCGGTGCTTGGGCAGGTTGTAGTCTTTCTGGGCCACGAGCACTCCCTCACGGAAGAGATACTCGTGGATCTTCTTGCGGTCGGCCTTGGGGATCAGCCTGGGGGTTTGTCAGTACAGACATCCTCGTGTATTGTATATTAATATATTATCGGAGGACATACATTGTCGCGAGTTCCTGGCGCTCTTCGGGGAATCGCGTACAATGGCGGGGACGAGGTTGTTCAGGTGGTCTTCGATGAGAGGGACTGGGTTGGATTGGATTTTAACATGTCTTGGATGTCGCTTTGTGGGATTTCGAATCGACCAGGCAGCCCGATATAGCTTAGCGCCTAAACCATCTGGCTTGGCAGATTTCACATGAGAACTTGAAGCATAAAGTGTCAGTGTTGGCGATTACAACTACATATCACCATACGCAGAGGACCATACGCAGAGGACCATATGGAAACCCTAGACTGCACCTCGCGAGGCCGATCAAACAACAGCATCGACATCTCCACCGCTGCGACCATGGACTTCCGAGACAGAATCAACGTCCTCCTCAGGACCTTCCCTGGGCTATCTCTACCCAAGACCGTCTCATTCGCTCTCCCCGCTGGAACCACAACGACAGACCTTCTGGAGCATCTCACAACCATCATCCCACCATCCATCTCTGCACAGCTCATCCTGACAACAACCTCCAACCGCACCGTCCGTCCTTCGCCCAACCTCGTAACCTCACTGATCTCGCCCACCAACAACAACAACAACAACAACAACAACCATGGCACCCTCCTCCCGCTACAGCTCCACGCCCCGCTGCCCGGCGGCAAAGGCGGTTTCGGCGCCCAATTGCGCGCAGCGGGCGGCCGCATGTCATCTCGCAAGCGCAAGAACGCCCTGGCATCCGACCCCAACGCCGGAGTCGGCTCCAACCGCAACCTCGACGGGCGCCGCTTGCGCTCCATCACCGAGGCGAAGAATCTAGCCGAATATCTCGCCACGAAGCCGGAGATGGAGAGACGAGAGAAAGAGGAGCGGAGGAGGAGGTGGGAAGCAGTGGTGGAGGGGGCGGAGAGGAGGGAGGAGGAGATGAGGAAAGGTAAGAGGGGAAAGGGATTGAGTGAGGAGTGGTTGGAGGAGAGGGAGGATGCGGGCGAGAGGACTAGAGAGGCGGTTAGGAAGGCCATGGCAGGCGGAAATTGGAAAGACAATGTTGCGGGAATGGCGGCAAGTCAGGTTGCTGTAGACGGTGGGGCGGGTGCGAGTGCAAGTGGGTCTGGTGGATAGCGATGGCCAACCGAACGACATGGATCTTGATGAGGACGAAGTTAAGATCCTGGAAAAGGAAGCGGCCGACGGAGATGTGGATGCGATATGGGTGCTTCGGAATCGAGTCAAGAAACCAGCACCCAAGGAAAAGGAGGAGACGAGGTATGTCGGCTTTGACGAGGATGACGAGTTCATGAGCAGTTCGGGAGATGAGCAGTATGTACCGACGATTGAAGGGAAAGGGAAGGAGAAGGTGTCTTCTTGAATTTGATATGCTGGGCACATCTGAGGTGACATCAAAAGTCAACAATTCTACTCGCTCCGCATCTCAAGAATGATTGGACATGTGGCTTCACCACCGGCTAGATGAGTCTCTAATCAACGACCTTGACAGCTCTTACCATATGCTCTTGATCCCTACATACTCATCGAGAATAAGAGCACGAAGATCAGCTCTGGAGACCCAACCATTCAGCAGCCCTGCCCCCAACCAGCCATCAGCCTCTCCTCACCACCTATTCCGCACCAGCAACCTTACTCATCTTCCCAAAAGCCCTCACCGACTCCGCCGCCACCACGCCCCACCTCTCCATCTTCCTGTCGTCCACAACTCCGCCGGCCACCCTCGCTTTCGCCTGTGCGCCCTCTACCCCCGCCTTTAGCACCCTGCACCCTTGCTCGCTGTTTTCCGTCGTCTCATCATGCGCAATACCCAACAAGGCACGGATCTCGCCTTGAGCTACACGCCTCCCCGCCTTGATCGCGGCGTCGATCTGCCTCTCTTCCCTGTCGAGCGTGCTCAACAGCTTGTCGCGAGATGACGTGTCGACTCGCAGGCCAGCGAGCTCCGAGTACTCCTTCAGTAAGTTCTGTGAATTGTGAATCAATGTTGCGGATTTGGCGAAGAGGGGTTGATCTTCGACGGAAAGATCGTCGATGGGAAAGGGTAGTTGGGGATCATGGGGCTTGACACCGACTCGGGCGAGGCAGCCGGCGAGAAAGGGAAGGAAAGTTTTCTGGAAGGATTGTTCGGCCTGTTCCCTGTCAAGGAGGTTAACGAAGGTGGCTCTGATTGGCGGTTCTTGCACATGAGCAGACCTCTCCGCATGGCCCGCCCTGACTTTCTCTACAAGCTCCTCCTCCCGATCACGCACGTGTTTCTGGAAAGCTGCAGGCCACCCGTCATTCTTCCCCGTGTTGCGGATGAAGGTCGTGATGTCTGTTTCGAGCTCCCTATCGAAATAAATCTATTCATTAGCACTTGAACATCGAGCTGGGCAACACGGTTGGCGCACGAAATAGACTGAGTGGAAAACTCTTCATCGTCTTGCTCGTTTGCATCGTCAGATTCCTGGCCGTTGGCATCGGTTATCCTCAGCATCGTCTCGTCTTGGCCTTCACCTTCCTCGTTCTGGTTTCGTGATCTCTTGCTTCTGGATTGAACCATGTTGCTGTGGGCTAGAGATGTACTTCAGTAATCTGAGCTGAGGAAGAGTTGGATATAACGATCCCTCACCAGTTCGCTTGCGTGTGCTTTGAGCCATTGTACATTTTTCTCAGACAACAGAATTAAATAGAGAATTAACCAAGCTGTTGGGTAGTAATCTGCTAAGAAAGGATTGAAGCACAGTTCAGCTCCAAATAGAAGGTACGATCAACCACATATTCACGCAATATCTTCACACGAACGCAGTACTCTTCGATCATTGTATTGCTATCAGTACATGAGGTAATGACTGTGGGTGCACAATTACTGTTTGCAAAGGGCAGAGCAGTACAGATGTCAAGACCGTATGCTCACAGACAGCCGCTTTCCCTCGGAATTAAATTAGCCACCATAATCAAGCACGCATCTGGGATCTAGTGAACATGTACAACATCTCAATTCTTGAGTGTCTTGGTATTTTCATGAGCTCATCAGCTGTAAGGGTAAGGGGCATGCTTCTTGGAGTCTCATTATCTCGTGAACGCCAGTGGAGTGAAGGAGCACTGGCCCTTTCCCGCTATCTCTAGTCACCAAAGCAATTCCTCCGGAGCGCAAGATGAAATAGTGAAATCCATCTCGACATTTTCATCGACCTTTAGTTGTGGTGTACGGTGCAAGTGTCGTTGTAATGAGTGACTGACGCAAATTTGAAGTGGACGCAAAGAGCTGTCGAGCGGAGCAGGAGCGCCAAAAATCAAAGAAGGGCTCGTGTCCACCTGGTTACAGAACTCGTAACCATAGAACAATGTTAGGACAGCATTAGGCCCCACCCAGCGTCAAACTCCGGAAATTTCCCGTCCAGTCCTGCCCGGGCGATCTTTCTCCCTGCTGGGGTCGGGAGAATGCACGCTGGGATGTAGAGAACGTGGGGGCATTCGGATCGAGCATCGCATACTGGTGTCCCGTAAATGGTGTGAATGCGTCGCTCGAGCCGAGATGGCTATACATAGCATGTGACATACCAGCCATATCATGACTTTGCTGTTGTATACCACTCGCAAGGCTCAGGCCCTGATAGGGACTGGGGTACGCGTTCCGAAGGTTAGTGCCCTGGGAGGCAGCCAAGCTGCCGCGAGTGTGATCGGTAGGATCGGCATATTCTCCAGCCGAGCTTTGCGTGAGACTGTGTGCTGGGTGGCGACGGCGCCCTGTAGGACTACTACGCCCACCATGCACGCTCAAGGCTGAAAAAGGAGGCGGCACGTTCAGCGAGGAAGTTGGTGTAACAAATGATGCCGGATTAATGGCAGACATCCAGATCCTGGTCTTATAGATCTTGAACAAGTCTGTCACCAGAGAGTTGAAATTGATATAGGCATCAGCAAAGTAATAGAAGGTAAGTTTCTTCCAGTCCCTAAAGTTATCATGTCAGCATGGCTACTTGATGCACGTTTGCACAATCTCGCGCACTCACATCTGAAACTCTGCGTCCAGTATTTCCATGTTGAGTCTGTGCTCGACAACTTTTTGTTGACAGACTCTCTTCGCTTTCGCTTCGTTTCCTTCTTTGTCACGCAAGGTCTGGATTTCATGATTCTGAGCCAGACGTTTGATGAGCTTGGGCTTCAGCTCTCCAGATTGTTGATCTTGAGGCCCGTGCACTCCAGGCGGGCCCATTCCACCGACGGCACTGCCAGGAGCGCCATTCACCCCCAAGCCGTTAGGGTTGACGGCGTTGGGGCCGCCCGTCTGACTCTGTCGTGAGAACAACATCAGCCACTTATAGTGTTCCTCGGCATAATACTCTTTCAGCTGCCGCGCTTCTTCCCAGCCGATGTCAGCATGTGCCACTGTGCCCAGGTCAGTGCCTCGGTCAGCTTCAACGATGACCAATTCTCCGGGTTTGACTTGCAACCCGGTACCTTCCTGGATGTAGAAAACATCGGATCGACAACACTTGAATGTGACTATAAAGAGAGGTTGTGTCTGATGGTCGAGATGGTGGGCCCGCCCGTACGTGTTGGGAGAAGTGTAGGCATGATGGAGAGATGAACCTGCTTGCGGGACTCGACCGAGATCGGGACCGGAGAAGTACGAAGCTGCAAATTGACGATTACGTAAGTGCTCAAGTTCGAGGTCTTGCTCCTGAAGAGTACGAGGAGAAAGCTGGGTACACTCACGATGTTCTCCTTGGGATTCCTGGGCATCCTCTCCAAACGTTCCGTACCCTTCGTCTCGTTCTGTGGGCTTAGTCCGCGGGAGATCCATGGGAAATTGGAGAGGGCTCTTACCGGCCGAGCTTATAGATCCTTGCCGAGTTGGCACATCAGCAAACGAATGACGCCGACTTTGTGGTATCTCGGGAATGCTGCCAAATCCTAGGGAGGTCTGCCACTGTGTGCGCTTTGCACTCTCTGCATTTCGATTGTCAACTTGGGCGGCCGCTTGTTGTTGTCTGTCGAGACTGTTGTATAATTGCTCGCTGAGTCTTCTAAAGGCGCTGCGAGATGCATTTTCAGGTCGTCCTCCTACATCCTCCTGATCCTCAATCGCCAGATCACCACCTTCGGGGCCATTGTTGAATATGCGATTGGTTCTTGAGGGGGCGACCGAATTAGAGAAGCTGCTACTTGCAGAAACTGCTGAGATTGAAGAGCCAGTCCTGTCCCTGAATTTCTTTTCATACTGACCACTTGCGGCTTGTCTAAGAAGTGCGTTTTCTCGAGTTAGCTGCTCAATGGTCCTGGCTTGGGAAACCGAAAAGTTTTGAGAATTGTCCGAATTGTTCTCATTTTCATCGTCGTCATCAACTTCACGTACTCTTCCCAGAGGTCCGGAATCATGCCCAAGATCACCCAGAACACTTGGCCTCGACCCACGGTGCTGTAGAATTGCTGCTTGACCACCTCCACGTCCCCGAGGCACGTTTCCTGAGGATCTGGATAGCGCAGGATTCAATGATTCCGGCTCCAGCTGACCTACTGAGTAGGATTGCGATCGATAGGTCTTAGGAGTCGGATGCAACGGTATGGAAAAAGGAATTGCATTGTCCTTCAATGGTGCTCTGCTCTTCAAAGGACTGTGGGAGTCGCTTGCAAGTAATGGCACACCAGGTGCATCCGTAGCGGTTGGGGAAGATAGAACTTCTTGTAGTCTTGCCGGAGGATCCTTTCTATTCTCATTCCAGATACCAGTGGAGGACCAAGGAAAGGAGGTGCTCGCCGCCGGCCCCCAACCTGCGGTACCACTCATTTTTGGACTGCCTGAAGGTTGAGTCCAGCCACTCAGATCTCCCGATGGCGTTGCCGGAAGAGAGCTGTTTGGACTGTATGTACTATTCAGTTGTATCGGCGCTTTTCTACTTGATGCAGAGGGGATTTCGTTCAGCCAAGAAGTACGACGGGCAGGTTTCGCAGGTTGAGACACGCTGGTGGACGAAGGCACCTGACGGGAGTGTTCTGTCTCGTCGTCTGAAGAAGCAAGGGCTTCTGAATCCGGTGTCGATCGCCTTATACCAGTCCTGCCCAATAGTGCTGTCTTGTGGCTACCGAAAGCTCCCAACGAAGCTGGAGCAACCTTTGAAGTTTGAGGGGCTCTACTCTGTACTGTGCTCATCTTTGCTAACAGTACGAAAAAGCAAAGTAGGTGAATACGTCCCCCGCAAAAGGAAGAATCGTCGCAGTGGTGCAGTCAGGATAGCCCAGATAAGAAGACGAGACCGACAATTATTGCTGTGTCCAAATTTCAGTCACCAAATAAGCAGCTTTCCCTTGCGCTGCCCTCTATATATAATCTGTGGTCTCGCGATATGGGAATCGTTGGCGTGTATCGCACCTTGGAGGGTCGGGCATTAATGCGGGTCAAATGCAGAGAATCTGGCAGGTTCACAGTCAGTTGCTACTTGATCAATCGCCGAAACGGGCGATACGAGATAACATACTTGCTGAAGAAGGGAAGACTGATGTTCACTGCTGCTGTCTCCACGAGCTCTGAGATCTTTAAAAAAGCCGAATAAAGGCTTGTGGTGGAGAAGATGATGATGTAAGATCACAATGAATCCTTAGCAAGCTTGACAAAGGAGTGGGAGCAAGCTTCGGTGTGATCTTCAAAGTCCTAGGCTTCTGTGCTGCCAATGTATGTATGATGCTTCTTTACAGAGATCATACCCCAGGCTGAGGTGAGGAAGAAGTCAGAGTGAGATGTCGAATCGTACCAACCATTTTCTTGTAGTGGCCATCAAAGTACACGAAGGAGACAAAGATCTTCTAGGCTATGCTCATGAAAGCAACGGGAGGCAGGCGACCATAGGGTTTGGAATATGGTGTGAGCAGAGGATGTGGGGTTTTGAAGTTGCACAAGATGCGCAGGGAGTAGGCGGGGCGTTGGGTGTCAGGTATATCCGCTGAGGATATCTGGAACAACGAGAAATCAACTGTGACCTGGATGAACTCAATTCGCGGGAGGAAGGGCACAGATGAGGTTTGCGATAATTGAGAGGAGGACGAAGAGTAAGAGAACAGCTCTTCAGCTTTTGACTTCCACCTCAACCCTGCCGTCGCTGCACAGCACATCATGTCACGAACGACCAAGTTAGAGCCAAAATGCGGAGAAAGCGTTAATTCAAGCGGGTCTAGCTTCATCGAGCTAGATTGATGATGGAAATATGCTGTGGACCCTGGCAAATCTGCTGTCAAGTACGAGCAAGCTACGAGTCAGTTAGTGAATGCCTAATGCCTATTGTTTCTGCCACTGCCAGTGCTGCACATTCCCTCGATCACACCACCTCTCCCATCACTATGTTACGGAGCACTGTGTCAAGAAAGCACTCATCGTCGATGTTTCCCACAGATCTCCGCGGTTCCGACGCACAATTGAGTAATTTCAAGCCCGTCTTGTCATGGAAAGCGATTCCCTTCGGAATGATCCACCAATGCAATATTCTGCTAAGGGTGCTTTATGGAGCCTGCTGCACGGGCCCACTTGTCTTCTTGCCTCGAATTCCGCAACAGCGTATAGACATGGAAGGCTTAACCAAGTCAGGGGCAGATAGGCTTACTACGGCAGGAGGATCAGGATATATTTGCCGCCGTCAAGTAGCGTTGGTAGAAGATGGCCATGACGCTGGCCCAAAGCACAAAACAACAGCTCTATTGGGTTTGGAAATACGGAATACCAGCGGCCCCATCTGGGAAGCCAAATTCATTGCCCCGCTATTTCTTCTTAGGGCCAGCACAGACAGCTGCAACACTAAAAGAATAATTAGATATCTTGTATGATTCCCTGGATGAACATGCCCGATCGACGTTTTCATTACTCGCTTTGAGCCGCCTCACGTGTGCATTCGCCTTCCTCCGCTTCCGAAGGCGACAATCTCAACAACCCCACAGGACATGTGGTGTGCACCTCATGAATCGAGGACCTTTCAATGTCTGCAGGCCCTCCCAGAGACATCCTTTGGAACCCAGATCCCTTACGTCACCCCGGCCAATTCTTTTCAATCATACCAAGTCATACTTCAGCTCTGTCAAGACTCCCCTTTCCCACCGTCGAGGCCACAGCATCAGGACCTTTCTGTTGTCGTAGCTTCTCTTCAAACTTGGCAAACTCCTTCAACGCAATCTCTTCTTCCTGGTCAAGTACTTGATTAACGCCTTTAACTTCCTCAATCTAAAACGGTTAGCAATGCGATGGGTCGCCCCAAAATCCGACGAAACTTACGTAGTGCATTAGCATGTTCTCAATGCCGTTCTTTAAAGTGACGGTGCTCGAATCACAGGTTCGGCATGCCCCTCTAAGTTTCAGCATCACCATTCCATCTTCGAAGCCACGATATTCAATATCTCCACCATCTTCTTGAATAGCTGGTCTGATTCGAGTTTCGAGGAGCTCTTTGATCATTGATACAACTTCACTATCCTCATCGCTGGCGCTGAGCGTGTCCCCTCCAGCATCTTGCCCATTCTCGGCAGTGTTCTTCTCCACAATATTAACCATCTGCTCCCCTGAGGTCACAGCTTCCGTGATCAAACTGAACACCTCTGGCTTTATGTGAGCCCAGTTGGAGTCGGCTGCTTTTGTGACGGTGATGAAGTCGGCGCCATAGAAAATTGACGATACTCCATCAACGGAGAGCAATCTGGCCGCAAGCGGTGATGGATGAGGCGGCGCAAGCGTCGATCGGGGAGAAGTATATTCCACGAAGGTTGATGGGAAGCTTGGAGGTAGGACTGGATGATTGGGCAGAAACTTCAATGCCTGGTGGGAGTGTTAGCCGTTGCATATCTGCGCAGGCTTCCTGTTACACTCACATCGGCGTTAGGCGTAGTCTGGGTTTGAATAAAAATAGTTCTTCGCGCTTCAGAAGCTTTACCAAGGGTATTTCGCTGCTGCTTTTGATGCCGGTAGAGTAGAGGTCGGTGGTTATTCTGAGACGAAGTAATAGTAGGTATTGCTGCTCGATGACAGAGTCTGTCGAAAGGGGTGGTAGATCGTCTTGCACTAGCTGCAAGCCTGATTCTAGATGTAAGAAAAACACTTCTGATTGTCGTAGGAACAGTCTTCGACGCCATTGCGCTTTTGCGCAAATTACGGTTGAGAAGATTGAGGGGCCCAAGCAAATGTAATAAATGAAAATGAATTACGTCTGCCGGAGCTCTTAGGTAAGCATTGACGCAAGATATTTCTTCGAGTCACTCATGGACGTTTTGATAAATCATCTCACTGGAAGCCTTCTTTAGAGCCTTTTGCGATGTCATCTTTGTGCCATATATGCGCACAAGAGCCGTTCAAATATCGGTGTCCTGCATGCAATGCTCAAAGTACGGCGAAGTGCAGCAGCGGTCTCCCAAGTTCACGGCAGCTGACAGAATTGCAGCTTGCTCTTTACAGTGCTCAAAAGACCATAAGGACAAATGCGGAGTACCTCGCAATGCTCTGATTGATGCAGCAGCTACAGAAACCCTCTATCAGGAGTCGAGCGATAGTGAACCCGTGGTTGGCCGGGCTCAGCAGAGTGTGATCGACTCTATCACAAACGCAGCTGAGGTGCAGGAGCTCTTCGTCCGGTACCCAAAATTGCGAACACAGCTTCGAGGCATCTACGAGGCATCCCTGAAGCATGATGAGTCCGAGCAGCATTCATGTTATCAAAGAGAGAGCAATACGCATCATAGCCGAACTCGAGGCTATTACAAGGACGACAAGCAGCATTGGACACCGGAAAAGGGTATTCAGGCCGGCTTGAAGAAGCTTCATATGTGCCTCCGAGCCAGCGATGCAGACTTCAGCGGTCTGAAGGAATTTTGCAAGGTGATAACGAGATTCCAACCAGCTGGTTCCCAGTTACATGCGGATGAAGGAAAATCACCGTACATGAAGCCCACTGTTCACAAAAATTCAGCCTATCAAAAGGGGCTCGGGTCGCCCTCGGCATAGAAGCGGCGGCAAAACGAAAGCATGGTTTGACCTGATTTCTACCTGTCAACAGTGTTGATGGAGCGATCATATAATCATCTAAACATGATTAGCATTGATTTACGTCGTGATATGGTCGGCTTCACAAGGGGCTCCTCGGACAGAGAGGCATTCTCGACCGGTTTCCTTTGACTCGATATCATCAGGCTAGAGATCTTTGCTCGTAGTGAACGCCGTTGTCGTTGCTCGCGCTCCCTGCATTCATCTCTGGAAAGAAGAACATCTTCCTCAACTACTGGTTCCAAGCGCGGTTTGGTAGTCTCGCCTGTTCCCAATTCCTGGTCGCACCTTTGGGTATTTCCATCAACCACGGTGCTTGGCGAACTGTCTGCTAGCATTGCGCTGTTGCATTGTCTTGTGCAATGCTTGACCTTAGGTTTTGACTGTACAGGAGATGCATTCACGGGTATGGCCCTCATGGCTTTGTGGTTCGTACCACGTTGGAATGGATCTCCTTGCGAAAATTGCCTTGAGAGCTTGTTCCGGTCGGTAACGCCTTGAACGGTTGTCATTACCAAACCTGAAGCTGCATATCTTGGCACATAAATGCCATTTTCCAGGCCGCCATCACTCTTCCGAGTTGCGTTGTTTGGGACATCCATAGCTCGAGTTTTCCGCCTGCAAGCAAGTGATGTATTGCTACTGTGAATCTCAAAATTCTGTGGCTTGATCTGGGACCTTTCTCCGCTTTTTGTGGTCTGAAGTGGATAATGCGGCCGGCCAACTGCAGGGCTGTGTAAGATTTGTTTCGAAATGTTATGTGTAACGTAGGCAGAACCTAGTGAAGTCCTCTCTCGAGCGACCGATGCTCCGCTGGCAGATGCTGTACGCGCCGAGGTTAACGAACTGCTTCTCGGAAGACGAGCATTGTGTGACTGGTTGCTTTGTCGTAGAAGCTCGACATCTGCTTTGACTGAATCTTGGCCAGTCATGGACGTCGTTTTCGCGATGGCGTTGCTTTTCTTGACAGTCCGCTCCCAAGCTTGTGACGCTGAACCGTCAGGTTTTCTCATATCAATCTCACCAGCTTCTGGGTGGAGACATTTTGCTGCCTCCCTCTGCTTCACTTTCTGTTGATGAAGCCTGTACGCCTCCTTGCATTGCACTTGATGGGCCTCCAGTCTTCGCGCAAGGTCAAACGGGTCGAAATGACCTGCTGATTTGCTTGAAGCTTGAGGCCGACCGCGGGAAAGAGAGCTTGATTGCATGCTCTACCTCAAATTAGCACAACTTTCTATGGATGAAATGTACCCTTCTTACGTCCGGATATTCTATGCGGCGTAGTCGATATGGCATAGCCGTGATCTGTCTAAAGATGGGATTTGGAGCTTCGTCAACGAGGTGCTTTGTGCTACCTCGGGCTTTGGCGAACCTGGTGACTTTCTGATGTGTTTATACTATTCTATCCTCCAAACTCACAAGCAGCAAATGAGCAATTTCTCCGAGACACGAGGTGCTAAGTAGCGAGACCAAATCCTGACCCGGGAGAAGATGGCTGACCCATGCCTCCATGCCGCCGACAACCCGGCAACGCCGCACTGGTTGTTAGGTATTCGTAGCTTGTCGCCGGCTAAGGCCTCACTAGCTAAGTAGTCATGACTGAACATCTAGCGGTGTTCCAGGTGCACGAAGTCGCGACACAAGAGAGACCATCTTCGAATGATTGTGCACAGGGAGAGTGTAGCACAGGGATGGTGGATTAGTGGTTCGAAAACGGAATGGTTTCATCACAGGCGTCCGCACCGAACCGCAAAATAAGATTGACATTTGGACAGGCACGATGGGTCCATGGACGGTGAAAAACTCTCCCTTTTCCTCGCCAGGGCGCATGATTGCATCATACAACACCAAATGCACGTGTGGAAGTGGTCAGTCGCGGAGGTGTTTGGTATTCAATTGTAGGTTACCTTTTGCACATTTCGTAGAGTGTCCCAAATGATGAACCCCGCCAAAGACGGTGAGCCTAGTCAAAGCCAAAAGCAGAAATAGAGTTGAAAAGGCCCATTGCAATCATTTCGATAGTGTGCGCCGTAGACGCGGTTAGTGGTCATTACCATGGACACATGAAACAAGGAGTGCTCAAGCGTTGAGGGACCTTCTAACTCATCCCACTACACAATACTACGGATACCGGAAAGTAGGAAGGCAATCAAAATAAATAAGTATCAAGCCACCTCATACGACACCGCAGTCACATTCGACGCATGTCTCTCAGATGTTGTGCAAGAAACACCCCACTTGTGTTTCTCACCCACAAGCGCTACTTCTTAGTCTCAAGTGCACTAGCCAGCTACGTGGCCGAGATAACAATGACCTTGTGCTGCAGGCAGGAGGCCAAAATGCGTGCATAGCAGGGCCTCGGTCGCAGCAACGGCCACCAGGGCAGATCTCCTTCTCCACAAGTCCCCACTAACTAACTGACACCTAATGGCACCGTCATTCATCCTTTCCCTATGCTTCGTACCACGGGGTGACTTGTATCGAAATGATGACTTTCTAAGATGCTTGCAACATCAACCTAATGTCTAAGAGCAGGACACCTTCTTGACGGCGTGGTTGAGCTGTGGACCAGCCTCGGTCGCTGAGCCACGTCGATTCGTTCTCAACCACGCATGCATCTCTTCCCGTACATATCCGTGTCTCTGAGAGATTATGGATTCTCGAAGATCCAAAAAATCGCGTTCGATTGCCAATGAGCCTAAAAGTGCCAAAGCTACTCCTGCAAGTGCAAGGCCACCACTGGCCGACCGAACCCATTCTGATCCAGCTGTTGCTCGACGTCGCACCAGTCAGACGCAGTCTTATGGCCAGGGCCAGGGTCAGGGTCAGCGGGAAGCCGACGTCAGGGTCTCGGATGTCAGAATCTCGGATGTCATCGATCGTGATTCCAAGACATCTATCAGAGATGACCCATTTTTCCGTCCTTATCAATCACCGCATTCGACTTGCTTGGCAGCAGAATCTCGTCTTGCACATGGAATTGTCGCCGGCAACGAAGATGTGTGTAGCCCTTGAAAGCCTTTCCCACATTCTCCCCGCGGATATGCTGCCATGCCATCTCGTCCGCTACACGGAAATTCGCATGCTGACTGTTTGACTCCAGCCCAGCAAGAATGCAAATCTTCCTCAGGTCAATGTCGTCGTGCTGGGAAGCCGCCGGGTCGGAAAGTCGACCTTCATACAGAGAGCCCTTGACCTTCGAGAAAGTCCGCCGAGAGTATGGTCAAGCAAGAAGATGTCCCTTGACGGTGTCATCTATATAGTTCGTCTATTTGAGCTAATGATTAATGATATCACAATCACTGACAGCACCAAAATCACGTGGCCCAAGCGCTTGAGTGAGGAGAGCCCGCCTACCATCGACGGAATACTGGTGCTTTACGATGTTACAAATGAGGAAAGCGTAATTGAAATTCCGCACGTTCTATGTAAGTTTGGTTCGACCCACATATTCGAGTACCAGAGCAGCATGTCTACTCATTTTATAACACAATGCTAAATGCCCTGCCGCTTCCCCACGCTCGCCGCTAACTCAGCCATTTCAGATGCGTTGGACAGCTCGGGTGGTTCTGTTGTGTTGGTTTCTTGCAAAGAGGATCACCCCCCACAGCTACGCCGAGTGAATCCTAATTTCAATGAACGGATCAAAAGTCGTTTCAGCAAGGTTGAGACATGCTCCACTTCCGCGAACGTGCCCGAGAGCCAGAAACGATGCATCTCTATAATTCTAAGGTCGATTCTACGCTGTAGAAGAGGTAAGCATTAGATTGGCCTTCCTCAACGAAAGCTTTCAATCCCATCTGCACTGCCTCTCATATTGCGTCGGAACATATCCGGGAGCATCACGGATGACTGAGCCTGTACCGCCATATCGAGCTGTCGCTACTTGATACCAACAGCTTTGGTATCTTTCCTTAGTGGTTAAGGCGGGCCATCTTAGCCAGCATGCTTGCTTGTCTCTCAAGAGTTGATCTGAGAACACTCGGTTGCAAGATGTTTTCTGCTCTTGCTGGACCGCAAAATTCTAGTCAACAATGAACTGACTGCAGGACAGGTGCCGCTATTACTAGCTCTTTGACCAATTCCTACGGGAAGGCAGCGATTTCTCCAAATAACAATCTGCCCAGCAAAGGCCAACACCCGCTGAGGAGAGTGCAGGCGCACTTTCCCATGACGTCTACCTTGCCCACTACGGATTTCAATGACACTCTTAAACCGTTTGGGCAGAAACTGGATGAGCCAACCACATTCCACAAGCTCACTGTGGACGATTCCGCGTCGCAATCTCCTCCACCAGAAGTACTTCACTCGCAACCTCAGACTTTCGTTGCGGACTTGAACCGGATTCCTGATGATTCTGATTCAGCTTCGGGGAATCAGGATTCTGACAACCCAAGCAGTCCTGACCCGCCTCATAAGACAGGCGTCTTGCGACCCGACACAGCTAACAGTCAAACGCATAATACGTTCTTAGACATGGAAGAAGAAGAATCGCAAGACGATTCTATGAATGGTCACAGTCCACCCTCAGTCACAGTGGAAACACCAGAAGCATCCGAGCCAGCGCGAGATGAGACTGGTAGCTCATTTGACGAACTAATCGACCGATTGTTATCGTTGCCCATGTCAAAACAAGATGGCAAGTTCGTACCTGTCTTTCTCTGCCTATACCGGAAATTCGCATCTCCGGGGCAGGTCTTTACTGCCATCACAAATCGATTTAGCCGTGTTGAACATAGCAACGATGCGCAGTTAACCAGGGTAGCTGAACAGCTAAGATATCTTCAAGTACTCGCACTCTGGACGGGTGACTATCCTGGAGATTTTGCACAACCAAATATCAAGAAGGAGGCTACCTCTTTCGTAAGTAGGCTTGAAAGAAGCAGGCTCTTCGCCTATGCGGCCAAAGAAATATCTAATCATTTGGAGCTGGCGAGCGAGGACGACGACGCAGATTGGGGTCGCTTTGACAGCCTGGATGCGCTCCCTGACGCCAATGCTTCGTTCCATAGTCAGTCCGAGGCAACTTCACCATCAATACGTACTGGACAATCGTCGACTGAGGAGCTTCTCAAATCCTCAAGACAAAGCTCATTGGAGGGTTCATACGAAGATTTGACACGGAAGTCGGGGGTACCATCGGTGGGATCCAGTGTTGTGATCTCGTCGAACATGTCGAGCCTGTCACTCCTTGCCCTTCTGCCACGCGACGAAACTCCTCAGGAAGCGCAAAGCTTGATTTCCATTCCGCGCACGCGTTTGTCGAAACTCCAATGGCACCAATTCGTGGAGATACCTGATGAGGATATCGCAAAAGAACTGACACGCATTGACTGGATCTTTTACTCTTCCATCAGACCTCGTGATCTGGTACGACATGTCATTCTTGCGAGTGACGCCAGTAAGACCACGAAAAGCCTTGACAATGTGAATCGAATGATAGATCACTTCAATCACCTGTTCTGCTTTGTGTCCGGCATGATTTTGTTGCGAGACAAGCCGAAGCATCGGGCCAGGATGCTGGAGAAATGGATGACGGTGGCCTGGAAGGTCCGCCAGTTGAACAATTATAACACGTTAGGGGCAATAATTGCCGGTACCAACGGCACCGCAGTACATCGCTTGACTTTGACATGGGAGCTTGTTCCAGAGCAGATCAGGAAAGATTACATGAGATTGACAATACTGATGGGCACTATGCGGTCTCATGGTGCTTATCGGATGGCCTGGGACAACTCCTTTTCAGAACGCATACCCTTCGTACCGGTGTACCGTAAGGACCTTGTTGCAGCAGAGACCGGCAACAGGACGTTCGTAGGCCCACAGGGCGACCGGATCAACTGGAAGAAGTTTGAGATCATGGGCGAAGTTATTATCAGTATGCAGAGAAGTCAGGACAAGCCGTACAAGGTACGGAAGAATGAGGAGGTTTTGAGATTAGTGCTGGAAACTCAGATCTCGCAAGGCGATGAGGTAAGCGGTGTGAAGTATAAATCCATGGTGTCTTGTGGCTGACGTGTTGCAAGGACCTGGCAGAGGAGCTTTATGAACGGAGTTTACAGGTTGAGCCCACGGGCACTGGCGACACATCTCGGAAAAAGTTTGAATGGTTAAGGCGATGAGATTATGATAGCAGATAAAACCCCCCCAATGGTAGAGCCAGAAGATCCACGGGCAAAAGTGATGATGAATTATGTATGACGGACGGGATTTTCTCTAAACAGGAAGCAATGGCACGCATAGAGGGCGCAAGGGTGGATCATGCTGACGGCCGATTGGGTTGATTCGAATAGACAGACTTGGTTGGTTTGTATTTCAACTCGGGAGGTTGGTTCAGCGAGAAAATGCAGGGCATGTCGTGAAGTCGTCCCCAATCTTCCCGAAGTTGAGATCTTGCAGATGTGTTGATGAGTTGCCCCTCGCAACCATTGCATACAGTATCATCTACAAGCAACACGACATCAACATCGTACTTCTAGGACACAAGTTCAGCACCTCCATCATCGGATCATTTGTAATTTATTAACACTCTCTTTGAACTGTGGAGGCTTTTCAACTTCACGGGCGGATGGTTGTCGACAAAGCGGAAGAACACTTCAAGGCTTGGTAAATTTTTGCTCAAAAGCTGCAGCACTCTCATTGACGGTTGGAATGTGTGTCAGAGGTTTTATAATACAAGCAGCCTCCCAGGAGACGGGCCAGCATGGCTTCTTTCATAACAACTATGTTTGTCCCTCTCCAGTCCCCTCCGCCTGCTCAACCTCTTCCTCCCCACTGCACCTTGAAGCAATCGACTTCCTCCATCACAATCAACAGCTATGCTCCTCTTGACCCCTTCGAGCCTGCACATGATTCGCCTTCGCCTGCTGCACGCAAGCTGCGTGAAGATCTGAATGTTGACTATTCTTCGCCCACTAGCAATGCGCGATCACGGAATCAATTCAAGCCAGCACGCGCGAATAAGGGGACAACAAGCTATCAATTGAGACAGTTTGCGGAGGCCACACTGGGTAGTGGGAGTTTGCGGAAAGCTGTCAAACTGCCCGAGGGAGAAGATCTGAACGAATGGCTGGCTGTCAATGGTATGCGCGGGCTCGGGGTGGGGATTAGGACAAAGCGCACGCTGACAGGATGGCCTCAGTGGTCGATTTCTACAACCAGATAAACCTTCTCTACGGCTCAATCACTGAATTCTGCTCGCCACAATCATGCCCCGAAATGAAAGCTACCGATGAGTAGGTCCAGCCCGAGAGATTCGTCGTTCAGGCGAAGAAAAGTCAGCTAACGAAGTCAGGTTCGAATACCTTTGGCAAGACGCCGAAAACTTCAAGCGTCCGACAAAGATGCCTGCTCCAGAGTATATCGAACACTTGATGAGCTGGGTCCAAGGTAACATCGACAACGAGCAAACATTCCCCAGTCGTATCGGTCAGTTGCCTTATTGATACTCCCAGTCCAGCCCACACATCCCAAGTCATCCAGGTACTCATGTCCCTGCAGGTGTCCCATTCCCCAAGAGCTTCAGTCAAACAATCCGCCAGATTTTCAAGCGGCTCTACCGTGTCTACGCCCATATCTACTGCCACCACTACCCTGTCATTATCCACCTAGGTCTCGAGCCACATCTCAACACCAGCTTCAAGCACTACGTCTTGTTCATCGACGAGCATGGATTGGAGAAGGGGGCTGGAAAGGACTTCTGGGGTCCTTTGGGTGATCTGGTGGAAAGTATGCTGCGCAGCGATTGAGTGTTGCGAGTTGCGGCATAATAAAGTCGCGTCAGAGCAGGCAACTAGGGCAACATAGCTTGTCCTTGCATTGCGTGGAGTTAGGGCACGGGTAACGGTGACGGTGATGGGCTACCAGAGCATCTGCGTGGGCGTGTGATTGGTGCTTTCAGGTCCTGATAACTGCATTCCATTCGAGGCCATGTGCGTCTAGCTGCTATGAAGAGTATATGGTCCTGTCCTGTCTGCTAGTGCCAACTCAGAACTTGGGATATCAACTGTAGACTCACTCGTTAACGAGCAAAGCACGCTTGAGTGCTCCGAAAGTGTCATTCCGTCGTTCCAGGCGCTTCGTGAGGGCTTGATGCCAAGCGACATCACATGACCATTGAAACTCTGTTTCGCCAGTTAGCTCCAGCTGGGGAGCTTCAGAACCTCAACCGAGCAGTGCCCATCTGGAGCGGAAATTCGCAGTTGACTCCCATAGCACGGAGGATCACCATCGAGATCATACACATACATTCCAACAGCGCGAGATACGCTGCTTCGTCGCCTTGCCAGATGATGTCCTCCCGATTAGCCCGGCCTGCCCTGGCTGCTACCACACGACAAGCTCCTCGGTGTGCGACCCGAAGCTACGCAGCAGCTGCCTCCTCAATTGATCCAAAGCCACCGGTGCCGCTGTTCGGGGTAGATGGCACATACGCAAGTGCATTGGTATGTTCCCCGACGTGCTCAGGTGCATCCCTTTGGGGGTCGTTACGTAGAGTCTCATAACTACATATATCATCCCGGGCAACCTCCACCAAACCCAATTCCCGACACATGCACGCACCACAAAGCTCTGTCTCTCCAAATGCACAACTCTCTAACCCAGATCTTGTCCTTTTCAATGTCTAGTATACCGCAGCCGCCAAATCCTCCTCTCTCGACTCGATCGCCAAATCGCTCACCTCGCTCCACCAAGTGCTGAAATCCGACGCCAAACTCTCCCCCATCCTCCACGCGCCCACCCTGACCGACGCCGACAAGTCCGCCATCATCGCCGAACTGGAAAAGCACACCGGCGGCGGCGACAAGCAGGGCACGATGAAGAACTTCCTCCAGACGCTGGCCGAGAACAATCGACTGGGTCTGTTGGAGGGGGTGTGCGAGAAGTTCGCGGAGCTGATGAGTGCATACAGAGGCGAGATGGAGCTGGTCATCACCAGTGCCCAGAAGCTGGAGGATCGCGTGGTGAGGAGATTGGAGGCGGCGATCGCGAAGAGCGAGTACAGTCACGGGAAGAAGATTAAGGTGGTTACCAAGGTATGTCTTGGTCTATCCACGAATTTTCTGCGTGGGCGACGCGATTAGCGAGAGAGAAAGAGAGGGGCGGGGAAATATGGTCGCTTCTCTGTGTTCATTACGCCCCCACCCGCGACCGCTGGTGCTAACGATCCCAATTGCAGGTCAATCCGGAAATCCTGGGTGGTCTGGTCGTCGAGATCGGAGACCGCACAATCGACTACAGCGTCTCGGCCAAGATTGCCAAACTCAACAAGCTGCTGACCGATACTGTGTAAGCAACAGCAAATAGCAATAGCAATAGCAAAAGCCCGGCCGCGATCACTGTTGTGTGACCTGGTCACAAGAAGGCGAGGAGTCGGTTGCAGCGGTGTCAAAGTAGAAGGGAGGAAGAGTATATATATAAAAATGGACCTACCGCAAATCCAGGACCGCTCCATACCAATAATGCGCTGATGCTTGCTTACTTACTTACTGCCTTACTGCTCAAAGTGCATCACTGACAACTTTGGAAAAGGGATGGAGTAGTCTGTCGAGCCCGGGTGCTGCAGGACAGGAAAGGTTGCCTCGATTGATTGATTGATAGATCGAGCGAGCATCTACTCACCGTAACAGCAGCAGCAGCAGCACATCCGAGTGTCACAATCGAGGAGCGAAAAGAGAAGGGAAAAAAGAGAAAGTTGTACAGATGCCCCCTTTCTTTCTTCCTTCCCCCCTCCTGACCTGCCTGCTGAGCGGGCAGCTTTGGATTTATTTACAGTAATAATATCTATGAGAATAAGAATAGAGCGAGGGCAAACCTTGCCTGGCTTGCTCTGTGCAGTTTCCTCTCCTGCCCAGCTTCCTCTTTCCGCTTTCCCCTCCTCCTCTTCTTTTCTATCCCAGTCCCTTGCCACCTACTCACTCATTCTGCCACACTCCGCCAAACAAAGAGACCGGATTCATATCAATCAATCAATCAATTAGTCAATCCAACTGCGCCTCAAACTCATCCTCGTAGACCGCCACACTCTCATCCGTGCGAATCCGACTCAACTGCTCATCAATATACTTCTCCATATGACTCTCCGCCTCACTCCTTCTTCGTTCCTCCTCCCTCCTCTCCTTGGCGAGTTGTTCCTCGTTCCCGAATGCATCCCCGTCGCTGATGGCTGTGCTGTCGCGCCTACGGGGAGAGAGGCGGGGATCGGACGGGCTGTAGAGGGACTGGTTGCCGATGGAGCGGGAGGTGGAGGAGCGGCGGAGACGGGCTGTGCCGTTAGGGGAGGTGGGGACGGAGGATTTGCGTCGGCGGAGGTTGCCGCGCGAGAAGGTGTCGTCGAAATAGTGCGCTGCGGCGACGGAGGGGGTCCGTGGGGTTTGGGGGAGGCGGCAGTTGATTCTATGGACGCGAGTCAGTGAGTACGCCCGTTTCGCGTTTGCTAGCAGTGGAGAGGGGATGATAGGTTGAAGGAGAAAAATGTATGCCTGCTTACCCAGTATCGTGTATCATCTTGGCGATCAACCCAGTCCAGCCGCATTGATGTGTGGCACCCAACCCACGACCAGAGTCCCCGTCAAAGAATTCGTAGAACCACAGGTAGTCTTTCCAGTGTGGATCGAAGTCTAGCATATCATTACCGTCGTTGACGGCTCTCCTGCCATCATCACCTCGGGCGAACAGATGCTGTAATCTGTGCTGCAGCTCCTCCGCCACATGGCCCAGATGCATGTAATCACCCGATCCCGTCGGGCACTCGATCTGCAGACTTTGTCCGTAGAACATGTAGAAGCGCAATAGGGATTCTACAAGTAGAAAGTTCACACAGAGCCAGATAGGACCGCGCCAATTGGAGTTTCCGCCGAAGAGTCCGGAGTCGCTATCGCCGGGGACATAGCCGACCTTGAATTGCTGGCCATTAACTTCCATGCTGTATGGGTGTTCTTCGTGATGACGGGATAAGGAGCGGATACCATGATCGGAGAGGAACTCTGTCTCGTCCAACATTCGCTTCAAGATCTTCTCTAGGCGATCCTTGGACACAAGAGACAACAGCAGTCGCTCGTCCTTCCCTCGTTTCCGCATGCTAGCGATGTTTCGCTCTGCAACATCATGCCGGTTTTCGATGAACCAATTCATTCGTTTTTTGAAGCTAGGGAATTTATTGACCAGCTCAGGTTCAAGAGTCAATACCGCGTATAGTGGGATCAGTCCTACGAGCGACCGTACGGGAAGTTGTTGAGTCCATGGGCCGCCCCAGGAGATAGCATCGTAGTAGAAGCCGTCTTCCTCGTTCCACAGCGATTTCTCAGCCCCTCCTGCTCGAAAGGTCATGGCGTCGGAGATGAGGATGAAGTGCTCGAAGAATTTCGAGGCGATGTCTTCGTATATGCGGCGATGCTTGGCCAGTTCGAGAGCAATGTTCAGCATGGACAGACAATAGAAGGCCATCCAGCCTGTTGAATCGGCTTGTTCGAGCACACCACCTGTTGGTAAGGGCTCGGAGCGATTGAAGAGTCCGATATTGTCTAGACCCAGAAAGCCGCCCTCAAAGACGTTCTTGCCGTCATAATCTTTACGATTGACCCACCATGTGAAATTGAGCAACAGCTTTTGGAAGACTCGTTCTAAGAAGTCAAGATCTTGGCGTCCATACATTTTGCGCTCGATCTTGAAGGTTCGGAAGACCGACCAAGCATGTACCGGTGGATTTACATCCCCAAAATTCCACTCGTAAGCTGGGAGCTGGCCGTTTGGATGCATGTACCATTCTCGGGTGAGAAGATCAAGCTGTTTCTTAGCAAAGTCGGGGTCAATCATGGCCAGCGGTATGCAGTGAAATGCTGTATCCCAAGCCGCAAAGAAAGGATACTCCCACGAGTCAGGCATGGACAAGATATCGTCAAGGAACATGTGCTTCCAGTTGGCGTTTCGAACAGCTTTTCGACCTGGTGGCGGAGGAGGCATATTGGGATCGCCATTGGCCCACTGATCCCATATGAAGTGATAATGCTGCTTGGTCCACATCATGCCAGAAAGTGCTTGTCTCTGGATGTTGCGAAGATCGTCAGCCATTGGAAGGGGACTGATACGCCAGAAGAACTCGTCAGCTTCTGCTATTCTTTGCTCCATGATATCATCGAGCAGTTCCTCATTCAAATACCCGTCGAAGCGCTTAGAAAGCCTGAACCGCACGACAGCGCATTCTCCAGGCGGTACTCCATCCCCCTGATCGAACGCATACCAGGCGGCACATTTGGTGCCATGGCAACGAGGATTGATTGCGCCTTTTTCCTCATTCACGATCCACCGATGGAAGGCATCTTTGACGTATGGTTGAGGGTTCTTCTGGCCGTACAGAGCTTGAAAGTTTGTGTCATTCTCGGTGAAAATAAGTCTGGGCGGAATATTCTCAGCATCCTGTCCTGTGCCGGGAGAGGGTGATAACTGGAAGAAACGATTTCCAAGCTTGGGATGTTTTGACTGCGCTGTCATAGGTCCGACGATTTTGATCGCTGGTTTTTTGCTGGGATGTTCGTGACCCCATGACCATGTGTTTCTGAACCACATATGTGGTATTATATGCAAAGGAGCTGGTTCTTGACCTCGATTGTATGCTGTAACTCTGAAAAGGAGCTCTTCCTCGTCATCGGCCTCCTTGGCCATTTCAATGAAAATATCAAAGTACCGGTCGTCTTTGAAAGCATCCGTGTCAACTATGTTATACTCGCGTTCCTCTCTTCCGCGCTTCGCATTCTCTTTGATCAGTTCTTCGTAAGGAAATTTTCGCTGGGGTAATTTATACAGGTACTTCATATAAGCTATTCCAGCCATTAGCAATGATCAATTGGCTGGGGTTTGGTTACTCACAATGGGTGGGAGTATTATCTAGGTGGAAATGCGCCTCTTTGATGCTCTCGCCATGGTTTCCCTGGGGATTGGAAAGTCCAAACAGGCGCTCCTTTAAGAAATCGTCTTTTTCGTTCCAGAACGCAAATGCAATGTTTTGCAGGCCGTGGGTATCTGACACTCCAGCAATACCGTCTTCACCCCATCGAAAGGCTCTTGATCTGGCATGATCATGGGAGAAATGACTCCAAGCATCGCCATCTTCGGAATAGTCTTCTCGCACCGTAGCCCATTGACGTTCTGCAACATAGGGACCCCATTTCTTCCAGTACTTCGTACGGTCACGATCCTGCTTCAGACGCTTCTCTTCTTCGCAAAGGTACTCGTGATTGTCGAATTGGACCATGTCGTTTGCTGGAGCGCCCGAGCTGGGATATACTCAAAGGCGATGTGAAATACTTTGAGGATTATCAAACAGGCATTATAAGGTGCTGGCTACAGCTATAGGGAGAGACTGAGGACAGCGGGATCACAACTGCCAGAGCGCAAGGTAGAAGAATACAAGTTTAGGAGGAGCTGTGTTGAAGCTCTGGAGTCTAGTAACAGAAATATCGAATGCGGGTAGTTGCTTCCAGCACTCCCAGCCGGCCTTACCTCCGAAGTGCACAAAGTTCTTTTCGATGGTTTCACCATCCCTGCGGCGCGGCAGGTCCTAACGGAACCAATACATTAGATTTTCCTGTCTCAACTATTTTCCCGGGAATTTAAGGACCAAGGTCAACGTTCACCATGATAAACTTGGACATGAGATGACGGCTCGCCGACAACTTAGCGCATCGCCAGAAACCACGGAGACCTACGTAGCACTCCGGGAAGAGTCATACGTAGTAAGTATTGTTACATAGGCTGGTGCTAGTGACGGCTAGTTATCGTTACTCTATAATAGTGCTGTGATTTGGTATTGCGAAGCTTGACATGAGCACATCAATTCAAATAGGTTACAAATTTACAATTCTTCTGGTCTTGGACTAGCTGTCTTGTACAAAAGACGTTTTCGAGTAAAAATACTAGCGCTGAACTAACAACACTTCATGCGCCGACTTAGTGTGCTTACGGAGTACTCCGTATTCTGCGTCAGGGTGCCGGGGGTGCTCCGACCGCATCGGGTCAGGCGCCCCCCGTGACCGCTTGCCGCTTTTATCTTTCGGCGGTTGCCGCGTCGCTCGTCTATATATTGGTCACCGCCCCCCGACCACGATAGCGTTGATGTCTGCATGCGACCTTCAGCGACCATCACGCCGCTTTGTCCACCCATCCGCAAACTGTGTCAGCTGGCGGCTGCGCCCCCGGGGCTGGCATTCCTAGCCGCCGCGGGCTGACACCAGCTCCATGTTGGCCAAAGTTCTACGCTCACGATTCGCCGATATCAACCGATGATGCTGACGACTACTACGTACGTCGACAATCTTATCTAGCGCCCCGGGCCAGGCGTCTCCGGTCCCTCGTGGAGGTACCTGGTTCGACACCATTGCCACCCTCACCACCGCCCACTTCTCGCTAACACGAGCGGCGCACTATTTGTCCCCGAGACCACCTCGCCAATCAGAAAAATACCGCAGCCGTTGACAATGCAGTGGCACCACTCCTTCATCCCTCGCATAGGGGCTCTGGCCAACTGACAT